GGACGCTGGAGGCGAGTCCCAGGCTTTGTCTCCCACGCTGCCTTCGTGGTGACGCTCGGGGGGCGCCGGGTCGGCGAAGGGAGCGGGCCGGGCGCCGCGGGGCCCGGGCCCGGACGCGACGCTTGGAAGGAAAGGGACGGACGTAAGTTTCGGCCCGGTGGCTCTCGAAGGGGAGGGTCTGCGGGGCGAAGGATCCGCGCGTGCCGCTGTTCCCTCGCGTGCGGAGTTACTTTTGGACTTTGCGAGGAGCGCCGGGGAAGAGTTTCGGGAACCTCCTCCCCCTACCCCATTTGGCGGTGTGCATCTAGTCGTGCGGGTGTACCTCTGAGAAGTTCTGTCCACTTGGGTGCCGCGTGCCGCCCCCGCGGGAGGAGGTGCGGGAAGGAGCCGCGGGCGAGAGCTCCAGAGCGGCGCGGAGCCGCGCTCAGAGTTACAAACTCTATTGTGACGCACTTACTACGACTGACGGCCCTTGCCAAACCTTCCCCAGACTTGCTGCCCTCAGCACTTTCGGCAGAACAATGGGGCTGGAGCAGGGAACGCGGCCAGCCGCCTGCAATCGCTGCCTGTGCGCCCGCTCCTGCGCTCCAGCGCTGTATCTGATCCGGGGAAATCAGAGCCCGCTGGGAGTTTCTGACTTATTCAAGTCGGCCCGGAGCAAAGAGCACTTGCGAACAGAATTCAGGCAAGCTGCTTCTCCAGAAACTTGTGTGTGTGTGTTAGAGCCCTCGTTCCACAAGTGATTGACATTGTTACTGTGTTTTGTTTGGTGGCAGGAAGTTTAGTTCCCTTTCATTCCCCCCCACCCTCCAAGATACCTTTGTTGTTTTAGGTGTATTTTTTTTTATTATTATTTGAAGATTGTCGCAGAAGTTTAAGGGAAAAAAAGGGCTTCACGTGCTTGGGATTCACGCTAAGAATTTTCAAGGAGTAGGTGAAAGTTTCCTAATTTCGTTATGCCGCGTCATTATTTTGCTTTAGGTAATTTTAGTTTTTTATTTTATTTGCAGAAAAAAAGACCAAATGGCAAAGCAACCTTCCGATGTAAGTTGTGAGTGTGACAGAGAAGGTGGACAATTGCAGCCTGCCGAGAGGCCTCCTCAGCTCAGGCCTGGGGCCCCTACCTCTCTACAGACAGAGCCCCAAGGTAATCTCGAAGTCGAAGGGGACCGCTGCCCCCAAGGCAGCCCTCAGGGCCCGCTGGCCCCACCGGCCAGCCCTGGCCCATTTGCTACCAGATCCCCGCTTTTCATCTTTGTGAGAAGATCCTCCCTGCTGTCTCGATCCTCCAGTGGGTATTTCTCTTTTGACACAGACAGGAGCCCGGCACCCATGAGTTGTGACAAATCAACACAAACCCCAAGTCCTCCTTGCCAGGCCTTCAACCATTATCTCAGTGCAATGGGTAAGCAATACCTGGGTAAGAGGCAGTGAACCTTTGGGTGTTTGAATTGCTGTTTAAGGCCTGTGGTAACATGTAAAGCCTTTAACTTTTAGTATCCTTTAACTGATTTCATCCCTACTTTGATGGCAATGTGGAGGATATGTCAAATAAAACATTACCCTTTTCTTTACTATTACTGAGTGTGCTAGTGAGGAACTGGAGTCCAAGCAGTAGCCTCTTAGGCAGTACAGCGCAGCTCCCTGCTGCCTTTGTTAACATACATGACTGTGTGAGTCATTCCAGCCACCAAGATTTACTTACTAATGACATTCCACATGGTCACTTGTAGCAAAGAGCTTAATAACATAGCCAGAGGTGTGAAGAAGAAGATGGAACAAGTTAATGATTTTCAAAAACAGCATAATAAAGTGGAGTCGTTAAATGTCAGCGATATCAACTTAGAACCATGAAAGTGGTTTGTTTTCTACTCAGATTCCTCTTTGGGCTTGCTTTGTTTGCTCAGAGGGTTTGGACAGAGTACTAATGGGATTAGATTGTGGGTTTTTCTTTCAGGGATTAAAAACAGTTAAGGGTTTGAATCAGGAGTACACACATAAATGCCCAGAAAAAGCTGGTAGTCCCATCAGTGAGGGAATGTCCTGGTGGGGATTATTACAAATTGGGGAACATTTGCTCCTTCTCCATTACTTGTGGCTGTGAGGGAGTATGACCTAAGAGTAGTAATTTTTCTAATATTGCAAGGTAGTCCGAAAGTACTGATTTCTATGCCCAAACATCTGCCATTTAAACATTAGCAACTAATTTGAAAGCACTCTGCAAACCACAGTATTTGATTTCACCCTTGAGCATTCAACTTGAACATGTGACTTGAGTATATGCAGTTACGACAGCCATGGTTCAAGTCACTGTTCCCCATTCGTGCAACTCCAACTTGGTATCTTAATCAGGAATCACCAGAATCTCAGTTACCATTGGTCTAGATTAATCCTTCTTTCCTCTGTTAATAAGTTATAAATAAATGACAACATAATCAATTAAGAAATCCAGTATAGAGTGTTGTAATTTTTATCATACCTTGCCATAACTGCTGCAATACATATGTGACAGATTTTGCATTTGTAGGTCTGTACTTCCCAGCCCTCAGTGTTACAGAGTAAACCCTATAGATGTATCCTCATGTTACAGAGTTAGGAACACTTCAGAGGCTTCGGTGTAGCTGGGAACCACAGGCAGAAATGGCAAAAACTCCAGTAGCTCTTGTTACCTGCACATCTGCTAAATGCCCAGAAATACTCCCCTCTAGGGAAGGACCTTTGAGTATTAGTGTCACTCACTCCTGCTTTAGTTACTGCTCCTTACTATTCCTCCCAGATGCATTTCTACCTTAGAAATGCTTCTTGCTTGCATGTGTTTCTCTGCCCTTGAAATGCTCCTGAGTGAATGAGCCTGCAGTGTTACTAAGTGAATTATGGGCTTTATGATGTGTATATTTTAAGACCTGTGTGCTTGAAGAATCCTTTGGAAGCTGGCACAGTTTTTCACTGCAGATCTGTGGATGAATTTCTCCAGGTGGTGGCTTAATGCACAAAAATAGTTCTTCCTTACTGTTAACTAGCAATAGTAAGTGAATTAGTGTTTTGTTTTGTTTTTTAATGTAGGCGTGAATTTATTTATTCATTTTTTTTGGTGACATGGCTATTTAGTAAGCTAATTACAAGGTAATCATTACTTGAGGTGACAGATGTAGAGCTTTAGAGATCACAATCAAGTTATTAAGCAGTTACTGTTATACCTATAAAGTAATGGATCTTGAGGTAACATCTTTGAGTATTAATTACATTCAGTAGTTTGTTGTGATCACTTAATACATAGAACTAAAAAAAAAAATGAGTTCTAAGGAACTTGAAGTTAATGTACTAAGATAAGTTTTCAGTATTAAGTTCTTGCGAGCTTTGTTTGGGGAGGGAATGAGTTGGGATGGGAGGAAGAGAACTTAGCCAGATAGGGTTTATTAAGTCGAAGCATAAAATTTACAACCTTTCTACTCCATAACGTTTTGTCCTGGCCATTCTCATAATGTTAACTTGGTGCCTGGAGACCACTGAAATATGCTGAGTTGATAAATTTTGCTTCTCTTCTCTTTTTGGCCGTGTTTAGTATTCCTTATCCAACAGTATCCATTAAGATCTTCAATGAAGCTTTTGATAATTTATTGCAAAATACATTTTTCACAAAGAAGTCTTTATGATTGGCTTCAGCCAGTGCAACACAAATGTGAGGTTATGAAGAGGTTCTCCTTAGCCAGAGGCTCCTTCATCCACAAAATAATTTTCTGCTCAGCAACTTGGAATTGAGAACAGTGTATCTTGCTTGTTTGTTCCTGCCTCTTTGTTCTTATAAGAAGTCACTTTTTTGCTGGGATGTACAGCACTTAGATGTTTGTAGTAGAATCATCTTCAGTTTTGCCTGAATGTCCTTGATTTTTTTGAAGATATGTCCAAAGAATATTGTGTTTGACTGTGAGAGTTATTTCACTTCTGCCACATTCTAATCTCCTACTGTGGGAGGATTAACTTGACTAATGTTGCTTAGTGAGTATCTGATGGTTTTAATCAAGATCATTGACAGGAGGGCTTACTTTGCTAAATGCCTCTTCTGGGTGAGTGTGTTTTTAATACACATCATGTACAAAGTTCTGTACATACTTGTACTTGAAATTGCAGTCAGTGTGATCGGAAATGAGAGTTGGAAAAGGTCAAGGGTGTGATTGTGTTTACTTGAATCTAGCTAGAAAGTGTCACGCAGGGGTGGTGAGAGGCCTGACTCAGCGCTCGCCGGGTGGGGAGGCTGCATGCTAGGACTGCGCACTTTAAATGGGATGAGGCTAAATTAAGATGCACTGTCAGCATCCACACACACTGGAGTTTGAAGACTTAGTATCTAAAGTAATGTGAAAACACCTCCATTCATACTAATTGTGCACTGAAGCATTCTGAATATATTGAGTTGCATAAAAATCTGTCTTTAAGTACAAAGCTCATAACTCATCAAATTGACCATATCACCATTTCTAAGGATAGAGTTCAATAGTGCTAAGAATGTTCATATTATTGTGCAGCCATTTCCCACAACTTGTAAACCAAACTCATTAAACTATTCCCACCACCCCTCCATCACATCCCCACCTCCTGGCAACCTCCCTTCTCCTGTCTCTGATATTGACTGTTGTTCTAGGTGTTTCATATATAGGGGGTCATTCAGTATTTGTGTTTTTGTGAATGACTTCTATAGCATGACATCTATGAGGTTCCTCTGTGCTGGAACATCAGAATGTCCTTTGTAAGGCTAAATGATAATCCACTGTATTTTCTTTATTCATTTGTTAATGAATCTTGTTTTTCCCCCCTATCCCTTGGCTGTTGTAAATAATGTTGCTGTGAATATGGGTGTGCAAATGTCCCTTCAAGATTCTGCTTTGAATTCATCGGGATATATCCCCAGAAACGAGACTGCTGGGTCATAGGGGAGTTATGTATTCATTTGCCGGGGGCCCCCCAACTTCTCCAAGGAACTAATACCATTATACCTTCTTACCAACAGTACACAAGGGTTCCAGTATCTCAATTTCCTCTTTAACACTTTTTTTTCCGTTCTTGATAGTAGCCATTGTGGTGGATGTGAGGTAATATCTCGTCGTAGTTTTGACTTGTATTTCCTTGACCGTGACTGATTTGTGATGCTTACCATCTTTTCATATCCTTATTGGCCATTAAATAAAATGTTTTTTTATATTAATTTTACCTGTTTTTTTTTTTTTTTTCCCGAAGTGTAGCTAATAAAAGTGTCAAATGAGTTCTGTTTCTGGCATTCTGTTTTAACTGGACAGGCTGGCCTTGCAGATGGAGGGCCTTGGACCTCGCAGTGATGTTTTGGCAAGCCAGGCCTCATCTTCCAGCCAGGGCTTGTCATTCCCATAGAGCTTACTCCTCTGCTTGCTCTTGTTGACTTAGGAGAAGGAAGGTAATTAAACTAATCTTGTAAGCATCTCAAACATTAAATGAGTTAGGAAATAGCTATATTCTCCAGGCAAATAGGAGTATTAGCTTTGTTTTACCTATTTAGACTCCCTGGCACATTTAGGCTTTGAAAAAGTGGCAGGTGGAATGGTTTGGTTCCTCAGAATCCTCAAGGCTGCCTTAGAGCTGAGGGCAGAGTGGAGTCTCCTTTGCTCAACATCCGGTTTTCATCTTTTAAATTGCAAGGTCACTTCTTCAGGCACCATAAGTAAACAAGTACACCTTGTAGGTCTTGAAAAAAAAATTCTTTACTGGTTATAAACAAAACTTAGTAATTGAGCTGTCTAGACAAATTAAAATTTTTTTTTTGAAAACTAATTGTGGCATAATTATGGCTTCAGAGAGTGTAAGGCAAAGAAGTCCTCGAAGCCCCCTCTCTAGTTTCTCACACTGGCAGCACCTGGCATCGAAATGTAATAGCACAACCAGCAAATAGCATTACACACCTCAGTTGCCATGTGCAAATTTCGCCAATACGACTTGGCACTCTGGGTTGTGTGTGTGGGTCACAGTGTATTTATTCCTGTATGTGACCACCAGTGGAAATACAGGACAGCTCCATCCCAGGAATTCCCTTGCTACCTTTTTATAGCCACAGCCTCAGCCCTCTCGCTCACTAACCCCTGACAACCACTAATCTCTTCCGCATCTCTGCCTCTGTCCTTTTATGTACACTTACACACATAGGACCTTGCTATGTGGAACCTCGTGAAACTGGCTTTTGCACGAATCATGATTCCCTTGAGAGCCATCCAAGATAACCGTATCCTTACTTGGTTGAACAGTACCTCACGGTGTGGCTGTGTTGTAGTTTAACTATTCACTTGTTGAAGGATGTAGGTTGTTTGCAGGTTCCGCTGGGGACCTGGCACCACTGGCACTCAGGGAGAGTTTACCAGCCCACATATTGTCCCCTGGGTCCAT